ATATATTCAACAAACGAATTACTCAATATTCACAAATCTAATGATAATAGAATATATTATTAAAAGTTTTACAATCTATCCTCCTTGAATAGGTTGTACAGAGGTCGTTTTTCTTTTTACATAATCTGTATATTTATCAATCTGTTTAAAGTTTATATTAAGAATTTTTATGTATTTAAGTTTTATGGGAAAATAGTGCTGATATAAGTTGTTGAAATAATCCATTCAAAAAATATTAATTTCATGAATGATTACTACATACTACCTAGTTATTAGTTGAAAGCTAATTGTAAGCCATTACACTGGTAGCATTGCTATTGGTTTTTCTTTTCGACATCGATAGTATATAATATTAATAACTACTATAAATTCCTCAGATAACACAGTTAATTGAGCGTACGTTTCTGGTAATGTAATAAATCGTAAATATATACTTATACTGGAACATAGTAGACTAGTAGTTATTTACAGAGAGGGGTTTTTGTGGATATTATAGTAATTTAATAGTTGAATTCATGAGTCAATTGAAGCTGGACCTAGTGTGGAACTCCTCAGTAGTGCGCATCCATGATCTCACCTCGTGAGATTCGAACACAGGATCTATCGGTTTCGCGTTCGGACGCTTAACCTCTAAACCACTGAGCTGACCGGCATCCAACGATGTTAATGTCTAACTTTAACTAATCCACGAAACTGTGCAACTGTACACTATTGTCTCATTTATCTATAATTAATCCCTTAGTTACAAACTAATCAACCTAGTTCTTAACTAAACACTCTAATGTGTTATTATCTACGTAAATAGAAATTATTCTAATATAAATACTCACACTATTTAATTCAATTAGATTTTGGAGTGAATATAATTAAAATTAGTCAATCTTCGATATTCCAAATTGAATGTACTAATCCATAAGTATTTTACCATAAAATTCTTACATAATACTTAGTAAAGTTTTCTTTCTATTTGTCTTCATATTGCATAAACAGGATACTGTTTGTATATAACCGACAAATAATTCACATGTTTCTTAACGAATACCAATTTTTAATTCTAAAGTTTGATGTTTAGTCAACCAAAACACAAATATGAGTGGTTTTTCAATCTATTTTAAATTGTAAGTCCTTCTGGCACACTAAGTTTACAAACTTAAAGAATAGGAACTTAATTTGCATTAATGACATTGAGAACTTTGAATGCTCGTATGATTATAAAACATCCTAATACATATATATGTATGTCAACTTAAGTGTATATGTATGTGATTGTGTTTACTCAGATCTATTTATTAAAATTGCCTTTATGTAGACGTATATATGAATTTCGACACGCTTCTATGATTCTGACATATGTACTTAACCATCCAGTATAAATTTAGTTACAAGACAAAGCACATACATACAAAAATTGATTTTCAGAAAAGTTTTGCATAATTGCTTAAATTTGATGGAAAAATTTGCGCAATGTTCAGATGTTACAAATAAAGGCTTATCAATCACTTGAAACGGTTTCTACCTTCTTTTTTTTATAAATAAGGAAGACTATTCAACTGATTAGAAATGTATATGACCTTTTAAATGGAACGCCTCTGGTAAAATTTGTGTCTGGAACTTGTACATAACTACAATGATAATGATATACTATTTAAATAACGGAAGTTAATTTATTTCAATCTGTTACCTATGTTATGATTCAGCGCCAGACAGACTTACTTTTAAGATATAAATATTCAGTAATATTATTTTTATATATGTATACTTATCAAAATTAATCTAAACAAGTTCAAAATGTATCTAGGTTGACAGAAAACCTGGAACTGTGATACAATTTGAACGAAAGATTATTTGAGTGACCATTTATAGAATTCATATGATCCAACTTGTACACAGGTTCCTTTTTGTTGCTAATCGTTCAATATTATAAGTTTTTTATATTCAACTTTACCAAATTCTTCATAAAACATTTAAATATCTTAGAAATTAGATTATAATGCCTTATCCTATTACTCCTACAAATCTCTCTAAAAATCATTCATAAGTAATATATGTAACTAATTTTCTTTTAATGTGACATTTCGTTTAGTTAATAGTACAACTTATTAATCGAAAGATGGTAATGAAAACTGAATAGGATAAATAAATGTTCTATGTCGAGTAAAGAGATTTGCATATATATATTTATAGTTGAATTCATGATTTCATTAAAGCTAGACCACCATGGAAAACCTGGAAGCACCGAACGGCCTTTTCGGTCTGATATTGAACTCCTCAGAAGTGTGCATCAATTGACTCATAAATTTAACTATGAAATTACTATAATATCCACAAAACCCCCCCTCTGAATATATATATATATATATATATATATATATATATATATCCAACAGTATAACCGATTTTTACTTCATTATTTTCTCAAATGAAGATCAACTAGATTTCCTTTGTGTAAGAGCATTAATTATTGTATGAAGTTTCTTACAAATAAAACTATTTAGCTTTCTAATATTGACTACCAGAATAGTTTTTAAAACTTAAAACTAATCATACTATTTTTATAAAAAATAGTCATTTACTCTCACTGTAGACATTTTAGTAGTCTTGATTGTACATGATGATGATTGCTATAAGTCCATGACTCTAATTAGTCAATAAATCAACAGCTTTTTTCAAAGCATTTTTTAAAATTTCAAACGATTGAAAAGAGAATACTTTGGCTCCAAACATTTACCCTAGTACTATTGTGGTGTGTGCTACTTATGTTGACATAAGTAGTATATGATGTTAGTCATGAACAGAAGGTCTAGCAGCAGAGAGACAAGATGATCGAACACTAAAGAATCGAAACAGGATGCAATTTGTATGAAAATGCATGAACAATGAAGTCTGAGTCATTTTGAGTGAATTGGTGGACATTTTGCAAATTAAGCATTTACTTAATCATTGTTAGATTTTATTAACAAGTCCTGTAATTTTGTGTTAAATGCCTTCGATTGTCTCTACTCATATTCTGTTCACTACACTATGACCACTTAGTTTTTTTAGCTGTTAGGGAACAGAATAAAATATCATTCCATTCCGATTTGGTCAGTTACGTAATACCATTAGATCTAACACTAAAAGTGAAACTTGAGAATTAGTTCATATACATGAACGTGGTTATAGTGTTGCGTCATTATGCAATGATTTTCATATATAAATCAAATTGATATCTACATTAGTTCTGTAATCATGTGCTTTTTCTTAATCACTCGTATATTTATTTTACTTAAATAATTTTATTGATCTGAAAACAATCAGCGTACATAAGTTACAGAGTTCAAATGAATATTTTATTCATCAATAGCTTCTTGCTATGAACATACTTGTTCACTAAAGAGGAAGAATGTATTTGTAAAACCTCAGTGAAAGAATTTGAAGTGAATCCAACGTTTCACCTGGCAATCTTGAAAAAGCTTGGACCAGATTGTCTCACATTAAGTCGGCGCCCAAAAACTGCGAAACTATTCGATTAAATTTAGACGAAAATTCTTATTTATACTTGTTCACTGTTTACTTTTTTTGAACTAAATAACAAATAATATTGATGACGTAATAAAGTTGTCAGCCACTTTTCTTTGAACTCATATGTAATGTCACAAGATCCTTTTTTGAGTGAAATGTATATTCAATATCAAATGTCTGAGTAGACTGACAATACAGAAATTTGCCAGACCTAACTAATAATTGATAAGTCTTAATCGTTCAAAAAATAATGGTATATTGTACACTACATCAAAAGGTTAAGAGCCGTTAATCTTTTGAAATGAAATAATCGACCTGATAGAAAAAACAAGCTTAATTAACCTTTTAGTTCTAAACTTATTATCAAATTTGCGAGAGCGCTATCCTTTACAGATAAGTTTACGCAAAAAAACTGTCTTTATATGACTGTTATACCTTATAATATATTATCTTTTCATACCGAAATTCATCTGCGCTGAATACCCTTTCAGTCCAATATTCAATTTTCGGTCTCCCTTGCCTTATGATTACCACAGACTTGAAATAAAACAGTATTCTTAGAAGTTTTCGCCTATTCATCATTTTTCTGATAGATCAATTCACACATAATTGATCATTCCTCCATTTTCCACAACTTTCTTTTTCATAATGAATGAATAATGTTATTGAGATAAATAAGTTTTCCAAAATTATGGAAAATAATAATAATATAGAGAATTAAGTAACAGCCTGTGGATGACAGCCCTCATTGAATTAAGTTACTGCTTGAAGTATTCTATCATATATTACTATCTTATTAGATTTACACATGTGGCTCTCATTTATAGGTACATACAGACAAAAGGCCAGTCTTAAACCAATCATGTGTATATATGCACATTTACATATATACATCCATACTTTAAGATGCTGTTCTATATCTTGATAAATGCATGTATGTTTGTACACTTGCAAGAGTATATGAACCTAAGTGAAAGCATAAACGAAGTTTGTTTCTGTCTAACAAATGACACACGTTTTAAGTAAAAGAACTCTTATGTCATTCTACTCAACTCAACTGTGACATAATAGACAGGTTTGATATGAGATAAAACTAAGGCAAAAAAAATTTATAAAAAGATGAGAGTTTAAGAAGGAAGAAAATAAAAGGAATTAGGACAAAACACCAAGAAGATACGAAGAAAGCAAACGAAGACAATGACCTAGAAAAATCTTGTGATACATTTTATTGAAGAAAACATAAACTGACATTATCCAAAAATATAATCCTTATGATCATTATAATTATGAAGATGATGATGAGAAAAATAATAAAATGATTAGAAATTTATTTACTTTACTTGTCGAATAATGAAATATCAACAATAACAATAATGAAACTGACTAGGAGGAAAAACAACTAGATAAGTAGAACCTCAACTTATTTACTTTTCTCCATTAAAATATGACAAAGAAAATGTAAACATTAAGAAAAAAAGGGAATAGGTTATTAGATTTACCTGAATAACACGCATTGAAAGTCCAGTTTCTTGTGCTAATGACTCTCTAACATGCCTCGTTGGCTTGGGAGTTGCAGCAAATGCTGTTTTAAGTGTATCTAATTGTTTTGCTTTAATTGTTGTACGTGGACCACGACGTTTTGCACCACCACCATTATTATTTCCACTATTTGTATTGAGGCTAATTCCACTACTACTACCAGGACCACCACAACTTAAGCTACTTTCAATACCACTAGTTAAATGATGTTGACGATGATTTATTCCACATTGACCAGTCATACTTTCGTCATCATCAACATCATCATCATCGTCATCATCATCCACTTCGACATCATCTCCTTCATCATCAACTATACTTCTTTGTGATGATACTTCACTAGTTGGCATTTCACAGCAACTTGTCTGTATTGGTGATTCGAATGAATGAGATTGATGCAATAAATGAATAAATCTATCTTGTGAAGATGAAGAATTAATTTCATTGTAATCATTTTCATGATCACTATGTAACACTGTATTTTTAAACTCATCTAACTGCATAGAACAATGTCTTCCGTTATTATTATTATTATTATTATTAGTATTTTCACACCGTTCTCCAGTATTATTCATAGTTTCATCATCCTTATCATCATTATCATCACCTTCATCATCGTCTTCACTTATATGATTAACCAGCTCCCCATTATCATCGTTAACATCATTATTATTGTGAATCAATAAATTGACATTTTGTGCAAATCTATCATTAATAAACATATTACTTCTACTTAACATTGTCAAATTATTATTATTATTATTATTATTATTATTAATACATTGATGATTTGTATCAACAGTTAATGGAAGTTTCTCATTTCTTGTTAAATAAACTTTACTTTTCGATTGATTAATAAGTTGATTTTCTTTATTTGATATTCGTTCATTCATAGCTGATAAACAAAATGTATTATGATTATATAAAGTTGAAAGTGAATTATCATTTATTAATAATTCATTATTTTCATTTATTTCTTTATTAATCCATGACAAATTATTATAGTTACAATTTACACTTTGATTATTATTACTATTATTACTATTACTGTTATTGTGTATCATTTCCTTTGATATAACATTATCATAGTTATCTTGGGTTTCATTTAATTTCCTTAAATTATTCTTATTAATATATTTATCAATATCAGTTCTATTCTCTAAATGATTAGTAGTTTGTTCTGATTTTCTATGATGAAATTGTTGATTCAGTTGAAATAATGGTATATTTGTATTTGTATTGATTGATTGATCTGAAAGGAATGAATTTGTATTTAATAAAGTATTATTCATTGATGAATAAATGATTGATTGTGAATTATCAATGATAGAATTAGATAAATATGATCCTATTGAAGATGCAGCAATAGTACAACTAGTCATTATATCTATAATTTCTGATGGAAATAAATAGTCTGATTTGATTTGTGTTGGATCATATAAATTTGTTTTATATTCATTATCTAATAGATTAGAATTTGGTTGTAATTTAACTTCAAATGTTGATTGTGATTTTTTTATAAGAATATTTGATTTTTCCATAGTAGAATTATATTTACTTGGTAACAAATTTTCTGTTAATAATTGTTGTGTATTTAATTCAGAATTTATAATGGAATTTCCACCATCAGAAATTGATTTGATTAGTTTATTAGCATCATTCATTGGTGTTTTAGAAGGAGAGGCTATAAAATAGTAATAATTAAGAAAATAGAATGATTTTAATACTATTTTGGTGAATAAATAGATCAGTTTCCATTGTTAAATCACTGACAATGTAGCATTGTAAGTCTGTTATTGGATAAATCAAATGTTAGACTCAACAAAACGGTTATTTTTTTTGTTTATTCTAATATTTACAATCTGAAATTTACTTAAGTATAATAAATTATTAACCATTTATTGATGTATTTCATACATTTGTCGTTTATTTAGAATTTAACAACTAATCAAAATCTTACGATATGTGAAATCAAAATCGGGGGTTGTAGAGATTGTAGTAAGTTGGACTTATGAGTTGATATAAGCTAAACTACTATTGAAAACCTGAAAGCAGGTTCATTGGTCTAGAAGTTAAGTGCTTGCACATGAGACTGAATGTCCTGGATTCGAATCCCGTGCATTTCTGAGGAGTCCTATACTGGGACGAAACGACTATCCAGTACTTTCAGATATGTGAACTGTCTAATTGACAGAAGGATTAACAGTAGTTCTGAGTTGTTATCTGACATACAAAGTTTAACTAAGAACCTTGTGATGAAGAAATAAGCATAAGATTGCATATTATGTGCATATTTTATTATCTAGCTTACAATTAACAGATTTTTTCAATCACTAGATTGCCAATCCGTACCTAGTTCCTCCTATTTTCGCTAAAATGGTTAAGTAGTATAAGTAACCTCAATATAAAATTGCAGTTGAATCCTGAGGAATTGAAATTATGATATGTTATTAATTTACATCTGTTACTTGAATTAATAACTAATGAGTGATAATTCAATGGGTCAACGGTAGCACATTCAAATCAAGGCCTGAAAGAATTGATTATGATCCCTAATGTGGTTGTGGATGTGTCGTGATGAATTGATATACAATAAAATAAACTGACTGTATAATTTTCGCTAATTTTATCCAAGTCAAGTCAATCTGCAATATAAACCAACAAAATTTTATTTCCAGCAGTTATATATATAGTCCTCTGTGAATTGACAGCGAAGAGAAAGCAGCAAATAAAAACACATTTTACAGCAACACCATACGCATAAGATATCTCAATACGGTGAGATTATAATTTATGGACAACCTTTGAGCGACGCCGTAGTGACCTTGAGAATCTCTACCTACTTACTAGGGTTAAATGAGGATTATAAACCAGTTTGAATAATAAAGATTATGATTCACAGCTGATGGTTAGGGTTAGGAATTCGATTTACGGTTCGTCATCACAAACTGATATAAGCTAAAATGTCAAGACGCTATTCGGTCAAATGGGTGAGTGAATTTCTCACCAAAATCCAAGACCTGTTATCCTAAATCTGATTGGTTCGCCCACAAATTATAGTCTCGCTCACAATATATTTATTCATTTTAACTAGATTTACACTAACTTAATCAATCTACAGTTAATTGTTCACTAAATAATATTAGTTCCAATATGCAAAAGGATTCATAACTAACGTTATTTACTGATAAACTGAAATGTACACTTGATCTCAGTTCTAACAATAAATAAATATTAGTATCAGAGGGAGTTTTGTGGAGATTGCAGTAATTTCAATAGTTGAGATCATGAGTCAATTGAAACTAGACCATCATCGTGGATGTGTCGCCGGATTTCGTGGATTAGTTGAAGTTAGATATCAACATCATTGAATGCCGGCCAGCTCAGTGGTCTAGTGGTTAAGGGCTCGTGCGCGGGACTGATAGGTCCTGGGTTCGAATCCTGCGAGGCAGGGTTGTGAATGCGTACTTCTGAGGAGTCGTATACTAGAACGGAACGGCCGTCTAGTGCTTCTAGGTTTTCCATGGTGGTCTAGCTCCAAATGACTCATGATCTCAACTATTGAAATATTAGGATTTTTAATAAATTAACTCAATAGTTGGACAACAAACCATTCGATCAGTGACATCTTGCATATTTCCTACAACTACAACTGTTTGATAATTAGTACTACCATTTTCCTTAAACAACATGGCAAATAATAATGGTCCTAAATTTAATTATGTGTAATACCATTAAGTCATTAATAAAGTAAATATATATTGGTTATAAAAATTATCACATCAAATTTCCATTGACATTAGTTGTGTATCTAAGAGATAACAGCAAAGTTCTTGTGATTTTCACGCTGATAACAAGAAATTTACTGACAGCTTAAAATAAATAGATTCACTTGATATTGTTTGCTTGTATCTTTCCATTGTTGTTTAAGACTGTAATTGATCAATCTCTTATTGGTATATGTGCATCTTGTGTGAATTGCCTCATAATTGCCTTAAATAACAAGCTTTATAAGCAAAAATGGATAGTGGCTAGCATTAGAATCCATGATGTACGTGACGTCCTAAGCGGATAACACGATGGAATTTGAAGCGAACGGTACTGGGTTCGAGTCCCGAAGTGAACATCAACTCTGGAACGCAGATACATCCAGGTGACGAGACCAAAATGGAACGAAACGTGCGTCCTGGATTCTACTGCTAACCACCATCCATCTTTGTTTAAAACAAATAGGATGAATTTTTTTACTGATATAAATTTTCTAACATAAATCACAATTGAACATAGATATAAACGTTATGTACATGTTAAACTGTATCACGATAAAAAATGTAATTACACTTCGAATATTATTATTATCTACAATTGCATACGAAATAAAATTTTAATCAGAAATGTCACATAGTACGTATGAACACAACTAAATAGTCATAAAATAGAGAGAAAAAAGGAAGACAATTCCCTTTACTTATTTCTTAAAAAGAAAGCACATAGATACAATTAAAACTACAAAGTGTATGTGTATTGACCAATCAGAAATGGTTCTTTGTACAAAAGAAAAATACATGCTTAAGTCTACTAACTAAGATTGTTTAAGATTTTCAAACATTTTTAATCATGAAAAGATGTATATTTTATTGAAGAATAACCAAAGCCTAAGAGAATAGAGCTTTCCATACTAACTGATAGAATGAAATTGATAAAACATCATTAACCATTGAATGATTATTTAAATTCGATGAATTTATCTACTTAAGAATTTTATATTTTAAGGGAAATAATTCTTGTTTTCGTTAAGTCATTTTACAGTGAAATTAATGCTTGAATGAATTGAGAAATTGACCTAGCAACTGAACCTTTAAAATTTGAGCAGATGTTACGTGAGTATAAGATGAATTTAAATATTAGAAACAAAAAAATTAGTCATTAAATATATATATATAGACGACTTTGTGTTCATTTTTGACAAGAATAATAAAATTAAAGCATTGGTTGATTGAATAATGAAAAATATTTATTTATTTAAAACAATATATAACTGGAATTATAAGCCATTGTGAACATTTAAAAAACACTATTTGATAGTTGAAGGTAATTTATATCGACTATAAGAATATGGCATACAATGAGCAGCTCAGAACCAATTAGACGAATTGGACTACGCAGATGACCTAATCCTCCTATAGCCTACACATGAAAAAATTCAGATAAAGATAGCCAGTGTAGCAGCAGTCTCTGCATCAGTAGACCTCAACATACACAAGGGGAAAACCAAGGTCCTCAAATTCAAAACTGAGAACAGCAATTCAATCACTATTGATTACGAAACTCTGGAAGATGTAGAATCCTTCACATACCTGGGAAGCATCATCGATGAACAAGGTGGTTCAGATGCAGACTTAAAGACGAGGATTGGCAAAGCAAGGGTCGCATTCCTACAATTGAAGAACATGGAACTCAAAACAACTTTCAAATAATATCAAAGTCAGAATCTTCAATATCAACGTCGAGGCGGTTCTACTGTATGGAGCTGAAACTTGGAGAACTACAACAACCACAATCAAGAAAGTACAAGTATTTATAAATAGCTGTCTTCGCAAGATACTCAACATCCATTGGCCGGATACCATCAGCAACAGCCTTCTGTGGGAGAGAACAAACCAACTTCCAGCTGAAGAAGAAATTAGGAAAAGACGATGGAAATGGATAGGACATACATTACGAAAATCATCAAACTGCATCACGAGGCAAGCACTAACTTGGAATCCTGAAGGGAAACGGAAAAGAGGAAAACCAAATAACACATTACGTCGAGATATAGAAGCAGATATGAAAAGGATGAATAGGAACTTGAAGGAGCTAGAAAGGATTGCCCAGGACAGAGTTGGATAGAGAATGCTGGTGAGCAGCCTATGCTCCTTCGCGAGAAGTAACAGGCGTAACTAAGTAAGTAAGTATAAGAATATTATCAGTTTGGGGATGTGTAGATTGTGATAATAAATCGATGAATGTTAGACCATTATTGAAAACCTGAAAGCACTGGACGGCCGTTTCGTCTTAGTATCGGAATATATTATTATTATTTGATCCTTTGCATCACGAACCGATCTTAGGTAACCTTTGCAACCCAGGAAGTACTAGAGAACTTTTTCGTACTAATATAGAACTATTCAGCAACTTCCATTCAAGACTCCTACTTCAATGAAATCTCAAGAACTTCTGATCTCAAGCCGACCACTTACATTTTGGACCATTAAGTTGGCATCCAAGTGTTTACATTGTTGACTTGAAAAAATATTATAAATTATCGATAATAATTGTCTCGTCCGAGTTTAACACTTGGTAATGTGCATAAAATATGGAAGCATAATATTTATGTTTTATAATAAACGATATGCTGTTAAAAGCATAAAGTTGGAAAACTATACTACATTTTTGTTAACTTTAATCAATTCTTAATATGCAATCAATTTGTAAAACATGACATTTTTTAAAAAGAAAATCATTCATTCTTTCCAAGCAGTAGAGTAAGATTAAAAAGAAATTTGTCTTCGCTTTCAAACTGATTCACTAGAGTATAACTAATCAGTTAATTAGTAATATTTATAGTTAACTGTAATAAAAACATGTTTTAGGGCTGAATATGATATTATACTTTCGATTTTGCAAAATTAATTTGTTGTA